CAAATGCACCAAAAAGTTTCAAATTATATTTACCCAACGATTTATATTACTAATAAGTAGTAAAACTCCTACCCATAATTATTTTTCACATTTTCAGTATTCAGAACTAACAATCCAAATCATACATACAAATATCGGGAGTATTTTCGGAGTTATGTACATGGAGTTATTTAGGAATTTTGAAGCTTAATTTGTTTGTGTATTCCAAATCTAATGATTAAGGGATTTCACTAACACTTTACTGGAATAAGATTGTACATACCGTCAATATTTGTATAAACCTTATCCAAGAATGTAATAGGATTACTTTCAGAATCCCACTGGATCATACACTGAATATGTTGGATATATCTCAAAGTTATTTGGCATTATGATATAGTTTTCTTAAACCTGTTAAAATTTTCTTTCCATTAAATAAGGTAAGACTTTCAAACAGTAAAACTTCATCATTTTTACGAACGGTTTTATCCGGTTATGATTTCTTCAAGCGATATGAGTATGCGAAAACGCAATTCCTTACAAAATAAAACAACGTGTTTCAAAGATAGCTTTCCTCACGAAATGACCTCAAATAGTTCTTCATTCCAAACCAAACGTCACGGACAGCTTTGAGATACATATTTGAGATTTTGGAGAGAAATATCAACCAACGGAGTGAGACAGATATCACTGAAGATACCCAGAGACACTATGAGAGTTGCTAAGATGGAAAGACACGACTCTTTATTATTCACGCAAGTATTAAAATGCTACAAAATATCTAGTTCATCGCTTGTAGATTTTTTTTTCCAGATAATCATTTGGTAATCCAAACTTTTATTTACCAACAAGTTGAAGCTAAGTATATATTTCAACTGTTTCATGAGGGAATAATTATCATTATCCAACTTTCAGAATTAGAAATGTTATTAACAGTTTAACGAAGTTAAAACACTGTGTTCATTATCCCTCTTGTTCAACAAGATTAAAATAAAGAGAAGTCTCAGTTCTGCTTATCTCTGATGCCAGTACACTTTATATCCAACATTTTTCGGTTAGGAGGCTACTTCCATGTAATCCGTAAAATGTCATATACTAAAATTTAAATTTAAATATGATCGGTTATTTAACTGAAATTTGCTAACTTCTCACATTCTTCGATGTCAGTAGCCATAAGTTCAAACAAATATGCTTTCCAGAAATTTAATGCTGCGTCAATTCATTTTCATGGTTACAGGTTACTGTGAAGAAAATGAGCATCAGACAAAAATGAGAGACTGACAGGTGTGTAAAAATGTCTGTTTGGCAATCGACAGTTGGGTGCGGTGTTAGCGTTCTAGAGGTTAAACATGCTTGGTTCTATTCGTGCGTGTGGCATCGTGGATGCGCAGTTGAGGAGTTTCATACTAGGACAAATTGGCCGTCCAGTGCTTTCAGGTATTCAGTGGTGGTCATCCAATAGTCAGTTCATGATTTCAATGAAATAATACAGTATCTTATCATTGATCTTTGTGAAGACTACGATGAAATTCAAAGTGAATTGATTTATCAACTAGCTGTTGCAATGAAATAGCATAAAAAGTTATTAATGGTACACGGAAAAATAAAACATAGTTTGATATCGAAAAAAATTAAAAACATGCTTCTCTTTCTCGTTCAGTGAAAACATGTCACATCTTCAGATAAAAATAAATTACTTCGTAATGAAATCTATTAAGGTTATTTATTTATTTCAGCTACAAAGTACGACCAGGCACATATGTGCATCAGTTCAAGTTGTCATAACTCATTGCTACATGATGAACACTGGTTTCATAGAACAAGTTAATTCAGTGGTGGTAATGTATTAAAGAAAGATTGCACATAAGGACATAGTACAGAAAGAAAGAAATAGTTCGTAGAAAGAAAGATATGAAGTGATATTATTCACACGGTTTGAGGGAAGACAGAGAGTGAATACACCTACGCCATCGCAATCGATTCTGAGCCATGTCACACAGAGTCTCCAACCATTGGTTACGATAGTGACGCGGACCTCAAACAAGTATTCTGTATCTGCCAACATGGCTCAGACTAGAAGTTAGTGACTTCAAGCACTGATGCCACATTTTGGTTTGGCCGCCCCTAACTTTCTCCCAACCATCTCCAACACTAGTCAGCATTGCGCGTCGTGGTAAACGGTGTCCAGGTATGTGTAATACGTATCCCAATCATCTCAGTCAATGAAGATTCACAATCTCAATAACTGATTTACCATAATTTCCTAATATTCTGTGTCTAACCTCACTACTACTTACCTGGTGATTCCAGCAGATGCGAGCAATATTTCTAAGGCATCTGTGGTCAAATACTAGTAGCTTACGAGTATCTTCTACTGTTAATGGCCACGTTTCGCAGCCGTAAAGTAGGATAGAATGAACTGCTGCGCAGTATACTAGTCCATTACTTAATTGATAGACGGATATCTCGCTTTCGTCATAGGTGACGTAAGTTGGCAAAAGCCAAACGAGATTATCGAATCCGTGCAGACATTTCGTCAGACACCAACACATTAGGGCTGATCAGACTTCCAAGATAAGTGGAGTTGTCAACGCGTTCGACTATTTTGCTCTCTATCCTTAGTTCAGGTGTTGACGCAGACCAGTCCGGGAGCAACAACTTGCGTTTAGAAGGGGAGAAACGCATCCCAAACATTATGGCATTGTTGTTCAGTACTACCAGAAGACTGCATTTTATCAGCATATTCACCAATCAGGACTATGTTATCTGCGTATTCTAAGTCGATAAGTGGACCTCCTGGTTGGAGATCGATGCCTGAAAATTCAGTCAACGAGAATGTTGTTTCCATCAGTATGTCTGTGATGAATTTACACAAAGATGGAGAAAGTGGACAGTCTTGAAGGACACCACTTGAGGTTGCAAAAACAGACGACAGTTCGCCATAAGCTGTCACTCGATTAATAGTGTTCGAGTAAAGAGCCTTCACAAGGCTTATGTACTTCTGAGGTACACCTTTCAATGACAGACACTGCCACAGAATCTCGCGGTCTACAGAGTCAAATGCTGCTTTTAAGTCAAGAAAGACCACCATTGTCGGACCCCGATAGGCATGCCTGTGTTCTAGAATACGACGAATGGTGAATATGTGGTCGATGCAACCACGACCTGGTCTGAAACCAGTCTGAATTTTTCTTGTCTGCAGTTCACAAGCCTTTGTTGGGCGCCTGGTAACTAATGAGGCTAGTATCTTAGATGTTATGTTAGTCAAACTAATTCCTCTATGGTTATCACAGGATGATTTTGACCCCTTTCTTATATATTTGGACAATCAGTGATTGTGACCAGTCAGATGGGATTACGTCCAACTAGCAGATTTTAGCTAAAATATCAGTCAACCTAATCGCTAAAATTGGACCGCCGTCCTTAAAGATATCTGGAGCCAATCCATCTGGACCAGCTACTCTTCCTCATTCTTGATTAACTATAGCCTTTTGAACCTCAGCTAGAGTCAGGAGACCTACTTCAACGTTTCATTCACAAAACCGTGTGATGAATATAATTTAATTATTATTTAAGTTTATCAATTCAGTATTGGAAACAGTTATAATAATAAGTCTTATGCTAAGTAAGAAATTGTACTTTGGCGTCCACTTATGAAGCTGAAATAGCCAATTCATTCTGCGTAATGATGTCTCTTACGAAAATTCCCCCAAAATTATCGATCACACCTAGTGTAAATATTTGCTAAAATAACAATATAAAGTATATTAGTACATATCATAAGCTTTTTGAACATATGTCAATTATTAATAAAGACCACCAACGGTGATGAAACAGGATAATCAATAGGACATCAGACTGAAACTATGATTATCTCTAACCCTTATTTAAATATCATTCATGCTTTGCTAACTATGTCATCATCATTTGACCTTAAAACCTGGTCGTTTTATAGTTACTAAACAATGATGCGTTTTGTTCAGTGATTAAATTAGGATACACACAAATATACGTAAGTCTTCTTTCATTTATACAATGATTACTTACTATTTATGATTCATAACATTTCACCGCCATACATGTTTGCTTTTAGTTTATAAACTTACTACATGATGTAAAGACTTTGAAACCTTGATTCTATCAATCGACTATTAATGTGGCAGCTATTCAAAATGATATAACATCACGTTGGATTGTGTTTTATGTTACCAGGACGAATATTGTAAGTACTAGTTCCTTCAAGATTGCAAGTCAGCTATGATAACGAGGGCCAACTAACATGAAACCGAAATCCATAATATTCTGCAGATCCTCTCTAACCACTTAATATCAGAATAGTAGACAAACTTGATATAACTGCCTTATTATTAAACTCATTTGGTATTGTTTGTTTGAAATTTGCCCCATTGCACAAGCAAGTGGTCATCAGTACTCAGTAGCTAATTGGGCGTTTGAGGCGGACGGTACTGAGTTCAAGTCTCGGAGTGAGTATCAACCCTGTGATGCAGGTACATCCCGCCGATGAGTCCCACATAGGACGAAACGTACTTTCTCGATTCCATTGCTAACCACCATCCATTTTTACTTATAATCCCTTATTAATAGATTATTATCAGAATGGGAGTGTGTGAAGATTGTAGTTAATCATTAACACCGTTGGATGCCGGTTCAGTGGCCTAGAGGTTAAGCGTTCGCTCACGAGACTAAAGGCCCTGGGTTTGGGTCGTACTATGACGAAACGGTGGTCCAATGCTTCCAGGTTTTCATTGGTGGTCCAACTTAGATCGACTCATAAATTCAAGTATTAAAATGACTAATAGAGGTTTACTCTTAATGTCCTGGACTTAAAAATACCAGTGATATATACCTACGTTTATTAAAAAAGTTTATGCCGTTATACTTGTTTATTAAGTAAAAAAACCCAAACCTATAACAATAAACGCACTTATATGATTCGCTTCTATAAGATTTTTATATTATACTATACTTTTTCACACTGAATAGAGGAAAACTGATGAAAAATGTGTATAAGTATATCTGCATTCCGAAAATACTATCGACCGGAGCCAAAAAAGCCATACTTACATTCAATGAAATTGAAATCTCCCTTTGGAAGACCTACACGTTCTTCGTAAGTATTACAATTCGAATATCCTCATGTAAAAATCATAAGTAAATCTCGCGATATAACAAAACTGTAATTCTAAATAATTTTCAAAAATCCATATTTCACGTATGTTATATTTTGTACAGAAAGTATATCCACAAACATAGTCTGATAGAGAATAAAGTTACATTAGAGCTATCAATTTGTATTTATTGGTTTACATCATGAACTTACTGTAGCTAGATCAACATTAAAAACCAGAAATAACTGGACAATTGTTTTGATAATCACTTGACTCCTCAGGAGTGGTATCCAGTGATTTATATATCTAACCTCAGTCAATCAACAATTAAAATTTAGTTTTATTTACTACTTTGCTAAAAAAATTTCGTCTTCTAATGGTCATTATCTTGACACGCAAAAGTTGTCAAAGATATCTTAGTCGCTGTATTAACCCGAATGGAATATGACTAAATAAACATTATGTAATAGGTTTAAGCATTTTAGATTATTCAGTAACATCATTGAATCTAGACTCAATCTATCATCATATTCAAATTAATTTGATTATGATTAGATTAACGAATAAAACCTGAAATAACAAAGATGTGTTTTGGAGATGTTAAAGACCCAACTATTTTGTATTTGTTAAACCTAAAAGAATCTATATTAGTGTAAAATTCATATTGCTAGTCACTAGATAGGCTAATCGACCAAATATAAGTGCCTATAACAGTTTTATAATATCATAAAATCATCTTCAGATTACTTAGACAAAAGATCTACTACAAGAGTAATATTACTAATTCTATACATTAAGAGAAATAACTGAAATTATATTGTGAATATCTTATTTGTTTATTAAATGCTGATATAATTATGAACCGTTTATTTCGAAACCCTTATTCTCTGAATAATACAACTTCCTTTTGTAATCAGTTTTGATTTTGTTTCCCCGTATTAGGTTTACTTGTAGTGGATATTATCAACAAAACGTATAACAATTTACAGTTCACCTTTGATAATCAGTTTAGGGTTTCATGTGATCGGTAACTAAAACTTTCATAAGGAAGAAATTTGATCGAGCTATATAGGCTGAAACTTTTGTAAATTTTGGTCTAATATTACTTCAATAGAGCTGTTAGTATGGACACTTACATTCGTTCTACTAAACAGTTATATTAATCCTAAAATGGGACTGGTATCGTGTTGTTTAAATTCGGAGGATTATGCAACTAACTCCATGTCATACTGATGTGTACTAAAGTAATGAACACGTATCCCTTCATAATGATTTATCCAGCTCTGTTAATGTTTTCATCATAACTATTTAATGAAATCAATTCACTTACCAAGAATTTTATGGCTTTTGTTTATCTTTTCAGATATCTTAGAAGTCAGTTAAGTTATGGACGTATGGATAGAGAAAGCAGCAAAGATTTAAGAAGAGATAACAGTGATATATTTGACTGTCATACGCTTATTGAACCGATTCATAAGTTATTAACTAACAGGTAATATTTTTTGTTTGAGCATTTGTGTTCGTAAAATATTATGTCCAGCAAAGATGTTTGATCATTTATGACTTGTAGTATAACATGCATATTTGATATAAGTAAAAACAATTGATTATTAGAAGCTTATTACTACAAAATTCAAATGTTTAAAAATCGTTCAAAGTACCCAATCTATGTTGTTCCAGTCTAAATATGTTTATTAAGAAAATATGAAAAATCATTTAATGATGTCATCATTTCTTCATATGATGAATTTCTATAAACTGAGACAGATAACATGTATATCATCCTGTGTAACATAGGTCTTGTTCATTTTCTCTCATTTTCTATCGTTAGTCTATCAGTACCTTTCTAAGACAATTAATAATTATTCTTTTCCTTCTTCAGTATACATTCTTCATTTTTATCCATAAATTTGATTTTCCAGTTTAGTAAAACAATTGTCAGTCAAACCAACAGATTTATACAGTTATCTAATTGGTTCTCAAATGGCAGTGTATGTGTGTTTATATTAACGACAGTTCTTATTCAGAATAAACATTGAATAGTAAAGTCAAACAAGAAATTTCAAAATCTTTAGATTTTGGAAAGAAAACCAAGCCGAACTACACCAGTGTTGGTAAGTTTGACAAAAATAGACGCTTAATTATCCTATTTTTTATGAATTTACTAAATTTTACATAAATTAGTGAGACAGAGAAGACAAAATATTAAAGGAACTTAGTGATCAGTATTAACTAGATGAAACTGTTTGAGCTTATCAATTGATTGTTCTAATTTACACAATGGGGATTTTTAATAGGTAAGAAATGTTTTTGAAACTCAAACTCTGGCACAAAAATAGAGAAGCATGCGAATTATTGCATTCACTTCCGATAGAAAGTATTAAACATTGTATATCATGTGGTGAAATTAAGCCGTGTAATATATGTGAAGCTGAAGTGAATGATATCTGTAAACTACAAATATGTCCTTATATCCATTTTTCTCAGATATTCACTTATTTCCTACTCATTACTCCGTGTAGTAGTGAACTGAGATTGATACTAGTACAGAATTTGTAAGTCCAATATAAAAGTCTGTCGTATAGAAATAGAGATATGAACAATTCGACTATCTTAGTAATTTGCCCATAACTAAAGGAAATAAAGTGCTTTATTTGCTTTTAAGCACAGATGGTGGGTGACTTATAATGCTCGTAACTTATATCGAGACAATACGCACAGTATGCACATATGCCAATAAGAACCTGATCAATTGCAGTCCTACACATCAATCGGAAGATTTAAATGAACAATATAAAATATAGAATAAATATTTCAGTATTGGCATTCCAATAAGTTTCTAAATTTCGTGTTCTACTGTACTTATTACAGACATAAAGACGAAATAAGCGTAAGATAACTATCCGTTTATATCTGAGTAATTTAAGAACTAATTGCAAATTTGGATAACAAAGTTCTGGGAGGTCAGTATATGAACAAGACATTAACCTTGGCCCAAAACTGTGTTAATAATTTGCCCATTTCATGTCAAAGGAATGAACTGTAAATAATATTTCGTTATCAAAAACTGACGTTACATTTTGCCTAAATCATCCGATAACAATAAAAAATCTCATTCCCCTTATAAGGACACTTATTGTTCACCATCTTAGAAATAAGCATGTTATCCTATACTGATCAACAACTGTGATGATATTATTGACAATGAAACCATATTTACGTGTACAGACATAACATAAATCTATCGAATCCTGTTTTCTCTAGTTTAAATACACTCCAACTTATCACTGATCATGTTTTAATATTGTTATCCTATTAATTCCAAATCATTATACATTAATTTTACTTAAAGCTAATACAATCAAACTCTATCACATTGTCAAACTAATCCCAAATGTAAATCTTGGTTAGTTATCCATAAGTACATACAACAAATCGCTTAAACTTAATTCAAGTTTTATGATATCAAAAAATTAGTAATACTCCTTTATTAAGGATATCTCATCCTCCTACTCAAAGTATACTGTCCAACGGTGATTTCAAGTCATAATCCATAATGATTTAAGATATCAACTACCTTAAATGAATTTTTCGCCTAATAACATAAAGTAGCTGATTTAGAAAGTGGTGAAAATACATATTATAATTTACCTTAATTATCTATTCGTTTGACTAGTCGATTAACAAGAATGTTTTTTATGATTTCATATAAACGACTCACACATATAATGGAGGATATTTTTGTTCAACAAACGAATTGTTAATTAGATCTCGTTGGAGTATTATAATTCAAGAGAGACTATAATTTATGGACGAACCAATCAAATTTACGATAACAGGTCTTGAATTTTGGCACGAAATCAATCCATTCATTTGATTAAATATAGTTTTGCCATTATAGCTGATGTCAGTTTGTTATGAAAACCCTACATCTGATTCCTAACCGTAACTATCAACTGTAAATATTAATCCTGATTCCTCACACTAGTTTATAACCCTCATTTAGCCGTAGTATGTAGGTGGGCATTCTCTAGATCACTTTAGCGTCACTCAAAGATCGTCCATAGATTATAGTCTCACCATAATTCATAATTCCTAGCACATGATACTTTTTCAAACATGAGATAAAACCTAATGAATTAAACGTTGTGCTTAAGTCATCTTCTCTAAGGGCAATTTTTTAAAATGTAATACACATAGAAATTATTTTGTTTTCATATTTAACTGTGACTAGGTTGTTTCAAACACTCAACATTCTTTTTATTATCATTTAACATAAGGTTTGATTCATGTGTAACATACTTCAATTCGATCAGCCGGATGTATCATTTTCCCTCACAAATCCATATCCATATCCATATCTGATTTGAATTAAGTTAGGGAACAACAAATAACCAATATCAAGCAATACTAATATTGATTAACGTGTACTTGTCAGTGAAACTAGGCATCCTATTCTAAACTGAAAAAATTATCTTATTATGCAGTCTATTATTGAAACACATTATTAAACTAATCGGGCTAAAATATTGACATGTCCTTTGTAATAACTTCATGAAATAATGTTTATACTTAACCACGAAAAATCATACCTTACCAATTAATAGATTCTCTTCTACACTTTTTCATAACCTTAACAGTAGTAAATTGCACACAGGTAAGCATAGTAACCATATTTCCATTGTTGTTTCATATAATCACAGATTTTTTTAAAATTCGAATGGTTGAAATCATGAGTCAATTGACGTTAGACCACCATGGAAAAGCTGGAAGCACTGAACGGTCGTTTCGTCCCAGTATGGGACTCCTCAGTAGTGCACATCCACGATCCCGCCCTCCGCGAGATTCGAACCCAAGACCTATCAGTTTCACGTGCTAGCGCTTAACCATCAGACCACTGAGCCAGCATCCAACGGTGTGATTGCCTAACTTCAACCAATTCACGAATGTTTATAATTTTAAAATAAATATTCAACTTCATTGTTATGTATACAATATCAATTCACTTGCATAATATTTGGGATTTTTCTCTTAGGGTTACATCCAACAAATGGTAACAAAGTTAAACGAAAAGTACAAACAATAAAAACTCCAAAATCATGTTCAAACATTAGTATTAATACTAATGATTGTTTAATAATAAAATCAAAGAATGCTTTAAATCAATCTTGTTCAATTTCTACAAGATTAAATTTAACTGAAATAAATGAGTCAAATTCTGATTTTGTAAATTTAGAAAATAATATATCTGTATGCTTAAAAATTCAAGGTTTGTCAATGTTTGGTTAAGACTTTTCTAATGCTTAGATTTTCCCTGTTAGTTAATAATATAATTGATTTGATGGTAAATATTCATAAGTTAGGTTATAGAGAACTTTGTTGTTTCATGGATTATGATGTCTGCTTTAGTCCAAATATGATTATCGATACATCTTTAACAGTAAGCAAATCAAAAATGTGCTTTATGAATAGTTATAGAGATAATTTCTGCTTGACCTGATGAGCATGGACTAGATAACTCACCATTACTTGTTAATGTTTTGTTCGGTTGATATTTGAGTCATATTTATCTTGTATTGGTGTATGTTATGTTTATAGTTTCATAAAGTTACAATTGGTTGATCTGTGGACTTTATAAGCGAACTCAACCGGCGTCATTCCTTGGTTCACTTTGATTTACTAATTTTGATAGTATATATAATGTACCGTACAACTTAAACACAATATTTCAATGTTTCCCACATTCTTTTAAATTGGGTTTACTTAAAAGAAACGATTATTTTCAAGCCTGTCGAGTAGAAGTGTAAACATTTCCAACACATTGACCATGTTTCTTTGGATAGTTCCTTGGAACCTCTCTTACCAAATCTTTTTATGTTACTTGTTGACAGGATGGTGAATGATCTCACCAGGGAAGTTTCTCTGTATAAGAAGGTGAACATATATGATAGCCTCTTAGATATAATTCAGTTTTTAGGTAGAACTTATAATCTACAGAACAACATCAGGCTAATTCGTGGCGAAGAAAACGATTAGCAACAGACCTTTTTAACATTCTCCTGGGTCGAAGAGACAATGACACCAGTTTATAGGAAAACCTCTTAAACAAACCGATAATTGGGCTTTTAATGGTTCCATCTGTTACAATACAACCGTGGGTAATGGAGCCATCCAATCGAGGTTAGTGAAATATGATCGTAAATTGATAAAGAATCAGTTAGACTCGGACACCTGATCATGTTCCTTAATAACAAAATATATCACTTAAACAAATTGTAGGAATGACCTTACAACAATCTTTAAAACTTTACACGGAAATTATCAGGAGTGAACTTTTGAATTTGTAAAGGGTTTGGGCACTAAAATATGTAAACCTCCCTTATATGTACAGAAACAATTTTCTTTTCACATTGAATCTGCCCTGGTAATGTTTGATTTACTTTAACCCCTGGGGTGGTGTGACAGCTTCTTATTCCTTATATATTATGCCATTTCTCTCTCTTAGATTAACACGTAGAAGTTATTTGACCTTTCATTTAACTGACCTTTCATGATGCTTATAAAGAGATGGATTGACAAGAGTTTCTATTATTATACTGCTCGAAGTATAATGCACAAACTTATCGCATATTTCAGCTCAACTTTGTTTTCTCACTTCATTCTTGAAATTTATGTTCGGTAATGATAGTTTTAAATATCAGATGATTCATCGCTAATTTACTATATTATTCTTTGCTCTTGTGACCTTACTTCTAAATATTAAAAACATGATGTGTTTCTACACATCGACTCTAATAGATTTTTAAAAGGTCATCATTCACAATCCTTAAAATCCTAAAGCTAAACATACTTTATAGTTTCTAAAAGACAACTTAGATGACATGATGGATTGTCTTAGTTTATTCCACCAGTTGTATGTTTCATCGTATACTTTATGAATTGACAGAAAGAAAATTATGGAACGCATTTCGGATCCACAACTTAAATTCAAAATATCAGATTAAAATTGTTAATAGTCCTACCTCAAAATCATTAGTATCCTTTTTATTGAATAAAAAGCAGTTACATTAAGAGAAACAAACACAACTTATATGTGCACAATGTAGTTATAAATTTATAACTATAATTGCTGAATATTTAATATTATTAACGGATTTAGTCAATGTTATTGTATTAATTTCAAGGAAATGTGGCAGTTCACCTAATTTCTGATATAAACAGCAACTCAGTTGATTGCCAGTTCACCATTACGATGAATTCATTATAAAACGAAGTACACATTCAATCATTTTATGACTAATGATATGATCAAATGCTGAGTGTCTTTATTTAATGTTTTTTTGTTGAAAATATATTGTGCTTCAAAACCTATCAGAATTGGTCATGTTTACTATCATATGCTAATACAGTAATGAAAAGATGAAATTGATTGTGCTGGGTAAATTAAGTTGTTATGTTTCTACTTTTAGGCAGTCCGAGGAAAACTACCTCACTGTACACAAAACAAAAATGTAGTTTAAGTGAAAATGATATTGTGAAGGTTGTTTCACCAAGATTATCAAATCAATATAAACATCCAAGTAGGTTTTTGAATGATAAATGAATACCTATATTTCTTATTTGAAACAATTATTTTTTTAAATTTAGAAGAATGGAAAGTTGGATTTAAAATAATGTAACGTACTTAAGCTTACATAGTACATTCATTTAAATTGTTCTTTATCCTTTCAATAACTCCATCGTAATCGTTTTGATTCGTTAGAAAAGCCTGTAGTGTGGGTTATTATGTCAAGCCTATATACCTTATTCTAGCTTTCGGACAGCCCAATCTATTCATTCTACTTGAGTCATATTTTGACCATGTTAATTATTCACTTACCAATCTTCATTGTTTTTATATGAGCATGTATGTGTGTACACTTCTTATCCTATTCATCACATGTCTGTAGCCTATTTTTGTGTGACTATAAATATCGAATAACGCTTGACTAAAGGGAGTAGGATCATCCGCCATCTCCACCGCGTGTCGTTTTGCTTCCTTCTATTCCATTCGCTTCATAAACAAAATATTTGTATTCAATAGTCCATCCTCGTTATTTGACTTATTTGATTCCGTTATTAACTAAAGCGATTTAAGTCTATGATTATATACGAGGATAGGCGACATATATACTTCAATAATAATCATTCATACGATGTAATTGGAGTCAGATCTCGGGCCACTAAAGTGGAGAGCCCGTCAACAAATACCGTCCGATCTAAATGACGACAAAATAAAGGGCTCCACTGAAAGCCATCGTGAGTTTAGTTTTTTTTATCAGTAATTATTTCACATTAGTAACATACTTTAAGATGATTACTTCAATTTCCATATGGAAAACTATAATCGATAAAACCATCAAGATTTAAAGCGAAACCTGAAATGATTCAACAATACAAGGTGATAATTGTGTGATGTAGAAAATATACGAAATCTCAATCATTAGATGTTGACCTCAGAAATCAAACAATAATATATTAACTTCTAAAAATGATGGTTTACTTCAGTTAAATGTTTGTGCTATAGTTACTTATTAAAAACTTTTGTGCTTTTATTGATTGACATGGAAAATTCTCAAGTAACTTATAATTAGTTTTTTTTTCTCGAAAAAAAAGCTATTCATTTCTTCGAAATACAGATGATGATTAATCCAATATAGATTTTTATGTATTGGCAACATAATGTATCACTATTCTAATGTTATCACTATGGTGATACATCTCATAATGTCAATTATTTCAACTAACAAAAGCTTGTTAGTTTTAGGCAGGTACATACTGTATTACTGATTTTAATGGACAATATCGATTTTGTACTAGCATTTTTTATGGCTTGTATATGTATTACGTTTATGCTAATAGTAATATATTAATTATATATTTCCAAATGTCTTTCGATAATAAAAACACCTAAATTTTGTTTTTAGATAAATATCAGACGATAAAACTCATCAATAGATTTTATATTCAAATAAAATTATTGTTGTAAACAACATTTGACTTAGTCTGAACTAAGTTTGCTCAAAAAGAAATACAAAAATTTTAGTAAACACTCGTTATGCATTTTTTGTCGAGAAGGGATTCAATTCTTCAAAATTCTTTTTACCTTGATGAATATCATTAGAGTTCACATTGATAATTATAACTGAACAACGAAGTTTCAGTTAAGTTCACTTGATATTGTTTGCTTCTGTCTTCCCATATGCTGACAAGAGATTAATCAATTGCAGTCGAATCAAGAACTTTTTAAATTATGTAACAATTATGACACATTACAACCACTCAGTTATGTTTTCTATCCTAAGTTATATAGCTTTCATCAGTGGATATCCTTCTCAATCTGGAGTTCACTTTGTGAGATAAATTCTTGCTAGGACACCTAGAGATTTAGTTTAAAACAGATCGCTAATATGTATTAATCTGGATAGTACATTACCGATTGAGAAAGTGACCACTCATCATTAGGTGGTAGATAATTTTATTCTAGAGACAAATATAATCTGTAGGTTTTTATTGAACATGAATATTACTACTTAACATACTTACTCACAAAATCCATAATCATGGTTAAAATTATGAAAGACCAAGTAATTTCTGATATTTTTTTTACAATCTTTTATCATGTCCATTAGACAGATCAACTTGATTAGGAATACAATACAATTAGGAAATTTTAGCAATAGAAGTGAATAAAATAGAATAAAAAGGAAATTTTTCTTATCTCTGGCAATAATCACAATAATAAAGGAAAATACTCACATACAACTAAATACAAATTTTGATTTTAATATATATGCGGTACATGAGGAAGAAGTTTATTCTCATTCGATTGATCAATACTATTTAAAAAAAGATCGTTGTTTTATATAAAAAGGTTTCCTGTTAAAGCTGATTCCAGTTATGGCTTTATATCGATTGAGGAATCATTGAAAATCGTATATCATGCGATATATGTTTTTATTCTAGTTTGGGACTTTTAAGAAGTGAGTAAACACGATTTAGCCATAGATCTAAACAAAGATCTTATCAACTTAAGGAAAGTTATTTAACTACAGACCAACGATTTGGAATCTTGTAGTCCATATGTGAAACTTTATATAGTTTGCATTATGGTTTGGTTCATAACCAAATCGGACAGTTATCACTCAGTACAAGTTTCTTTTTATATTCTTCATTTATTACACCTTTTAAACATTATTTTTTTCCGATATAAATTATGTAATATGTGAATTACACAACCACTATCCATCTTTTTGAATGACATAGTTTAAAGCCTATTACTTTCAGTACTGTTCGTCAAGTTATTATTTTATTTTTATAAGCCATAAAATATTCAGATTAAGAAAATCCGTTAATAAAACGGATCGAGAAGATGATTTGAACAGCTTCTAAATTCATTTTTATTATGGTTTAATTATTTACATATATTTTCTTTAGTTTTGCATTTCAACAAAAACATCTTTCTAGCTTACAGAATGATTGTCCAGACTACTGAAACAGAAAAAAGTAGTCAGTTAAGCTTTCAAGACTAATACATTTATTTTTATATATTCTATAAGTATTATTATTATTATTGTTATTATCAATAAGAAAAAAGCCTGAATAGAATTTTTAAACTGAATTGAAAAATAGTAATTTCTATACTTGAAGCTTCTACTCACAATCTGTTCTAACAAAAGCTTAAATTTGATTGTAAGTTCAATAAGTTGTATGTAAAATTATCAAATCTGTCAGATCAGTTTTGAATGAAAGTCAGTTTATAGTCTTAAATAAAATAAGATACAGAGTGATAAAACTTTAAATATTGAATTTTAGAATATCATTAAATTTTGTTTACTCTAACAAATACTACTCATATTTTAACTAAAGAATAAATTTGCTGCTTATAGTATTACTTACTTAATTACTTATGCCTGTTACTTGCAACGTAGAATAGGCCGCCAACCAGCATATTTTTTCTGGTTAGCGTTCTTTTATAGTTAGTTTTCTACGGGAAGGGGTCGCTAACCCCATACCCAACCCTCCTCGTTTATCCAGGCTTGGGATCGGCAGTATTCCCACAGGGGTTCCAGGCGGAGTTTATAGTATTACTTTTCTTTACTAATATAAAATGGATAAATTACATTCTGGTACATAACACGCATATCATAAAAAGAACCGGGTTTTTTTAATTTATTTAAAATTGAGTGTCTAAATGAACATAGGTGAAATAAAATGAATAAACATGGAGATAAACGAAACTTTTAATAGTGAGATAAATTTATTCATTTTAATGAGGTGTAAAAAGGGATGTGAAAAGATGGATTAGTGTAAGACTGTTTTGTAGTGTATATAAACTAACAATTCACATCATATTACTATATTTTTTACTCAAACAATCATGAGATGTATTCAATATGTTACCTTTCATGGAAGTATACATTTAGGTAATTTACATGTACTGGTTAAACTACAGACAAATTATTTATTATAGAACTCTTTTTAGTAAAAGTCTGGTTTAAATAATGCAAACTGTATACTTTTAAACTAGTTCAAAATTAAAGTCTATGTAATAAACTATGATAAACATTTCCCTGATTTTCAATAATTCATTAAATGAAGTTTGTTAATGATAAAACATTTATATAACAAGCAATTACGAAGTATTAGGTAACAAGTCATTTTGCGGACTGAAACCATGACTACCACATTATAAGTAATTTATACATAGAAGAAGAAACATCCTAGGCAATATGAATGATTTTGACAGTATCAGGGACTATTTAGTTATGATATATTCTCAGTTCTGATGGAGACTTCGTTTATATAAAATTTCAAGTAACCTTACACTTTATTTTGAAGGAACTCAAAAATCATATGAGAACATACTTTCATCTGGTCGTGCATACTCAATATCTTCCATATCAGCTGAGAGAATTAAGGGGATTCTGGATGACAAATTATGTATTTACGGTTATCAGACAGGAAAAACTCCAAGAACATCCGATTTCCATGAGTTAGATGATATTCCTGAAAATCAACTTCATACTCTGTCTTATTATAATAATAACAAACAATTGAAAGTTTCACACAAAACATCAGCCCGTCCTAAAAGTGCTGGGGATGCTCACATTGGAATAAATTCTGTAAGTATTATGTTAAATTTTTACACAAGCCCCATTACGCTCGAATGCCATCTACAACTCAGTAAAGAGCTGCGTATATATTGTTTCTAGATGCTACTTGATACAAATGGTATGATGATATGTGTAAGCATCCTTCGAATTACCTAGGTGTTGTTTTGAAGCTGACAGACCTAGACATCTATGTCACCAATTGATCTTTGTGTAAGAACACTGAAGCTACACTTGAGAGTGAGCTCATTTAGCTAGATTAAGTTGTAATGGTAGTTCTTGCAATTACCAAGTATAAGCACTTATAAACCATCGTCTTCAACCCAAACGTGGGTTTTTACCATAATCTTCTTCAAGATCAGTTTATGATCAGTTTTGAAATACCACTGTCATTTCCAACTTTTTATGATGAGAAATACATCTAATATCTTCTGTTGTTTGATAAGATCCATTTATAAGTATTATACGGGTGATAAAATAAATTTATGTCAACTAAATAGATATCCAACTTTAACTAAACTAGATATTCCGCATAAATAAATTACAACAATAATGTTTAGCTGCCAGACTGACTTTAGATAAACACTTTATAGGATTATATGATAAAACATGAGATAAAATATGAATCTACTAGTCGTTTACTTACTATGCACAAATAAGAACTTTTAATAACCAGCAGAAGACTTTAGAATATAACAGAGTAAAATATAGCACCGTTAGTCTCAACATTTTCTTGAAGAGAACCTAGACAATAGTAATTCATTCTGATATTGAGTGAAAATCACAATGGAGAGAAGTTAGGTACATAATTTATTAGATTGCGTAAGAAAACTTAATGAATTTTCACATTCAATCTGATTGATATCATCCAATTACTACGGTTGCGACAAACCATATATAAGTTTTTATATTCTCACTACTGGATCCTTCTCGTCTGCTTTAAATACGGCTAACTATTTATAAAATAAATGTAGATCTTAATGGAATTATCTGAAATTTCCCATTTATAACTATCATTTAAAGCAGAATGAATATTTTAGAATTAGGCACAATTCACTAAATATTACTTATTAGTTGATCAAGGAAATGTACTTTTTCATGGCTTAAATTACAAAGGTTAAACGATATTTTATTTTCAAATGGAATAAAAATGGACAAATACTCCTCTATTCACTCTATTACAATCGATCTGTTGCTACTAACAAGAGTTTTCAACTGGTAGGCTGAATATTCATTCAACTTTTATCACCAAAGATGAATCAGTATTAATCATTTCATCTTCAAAAACTGCTGTCGTCTACAGTTAGCATGATTGCAGTGACGAACAATATTTTCATCAAATTAACTATAGTTAAGAATAATTATCAGACTTCTCAAAACTTGGTTAAACTCATGAAGTTTCTGCTAACCACTTTTTTCAATTAATAGAACGTATATGCTTCACCAACCAGATCAAAGCTCCCCTACTTGATAAGCCACATCATTATTACTTTTTTCTACCCAGCTTCTGTAAATACTGTAGTTAATCAGTTTGATAATAGTATAAAGACCAATACTGCACATACAATTTTTTCCAACCTTATTCACGCAGACGTTTATTGTACTCTCAAGTTCAGTATTTTATCTGTGTAGTATAACTAATGGCTGAAATATTATATTACGGGGAATTGTCTAAGTTATATAGGAACATTAAATTTATAGTATTTTGAAACTAAATTCATATATTTATTCGGAGGTCATATCCAAGCTTCTTTTAGTTACATTTTTATAGTTACCCGCCTAATGAAGTGCGGAAGCCTCATGGCTCTTCAGGTAGATAAATGCTTTGAAAAGACAGTGCAACTAGGCACTAAAGAATATGTGTATATAAGTATTGTGATACCGACAGCGTGGGTAATTAACTTGACTCACACTATGTAGTGCAGAAATATTCTTATTGACCTACAATACTCTTTACCCATCAGTTTTGAAAGCTTTTATCAAAGGCACATACATTACAGTGATATACATATTACATAGATTGGCGTGGCTGCTAGTATGCTGTACATGTAACGATAGCGTAGGCATGCCAGTAAACGATACATTCATAAGCAAAATGCACAAGCCAAGGCTCATACACTCAATGGTATAGACATAAGCATAGATGAGAACACCCAAGGTCCCCAAGCCCAGCATCACTTTTGCTGAATGAATATCGAGTATTCAAATCAGTATGTAAGTCGTCATAGATGATGTGCTCACTTCATGCTCCTACCGTAAGCCGGTTTAATTTAGAACACTGTGCACTGGTTACGACACAACTTATGGTTTACCCTCTGGCCCACCCCAGCCAGACCTTATGGGCCCTTCCAGACTAATCTGCCAAAGCACCAAATGGAAAATTTTGTCCAATACTTCAGTCGCACTATCAATTCAAGTCAACCTCTCCTCTCGTATAATCAAGATTAAAGACAGGGTGGATGACTAGTTTGATCTCCATCTGACCACGAAGTAGTTGGTCAATCCAGTGCCGCTTACGTTAGTTCATTGGGAAGACGATTACCCACTATCCAGAGAGCACTAAGCGGAGATTCAAGTCGAACTCCGCCCCCTTTCTTAGACATAATTCGTCGCATATATATGAGCAAAGCAAATAAATTATTCGACTGAAATCATTTCTTCATTCCATACTATTTAAATAAGAAAAGAGAATTTCTTCTCTATCTATTCTGTAATTATAAAATATACTATCTTAACGAAAGGTTTGTGTTTTACCTGTCTTAATTGTATTCACCAAATCAAAAAGCATAAAATTAATTTGTACATTATAAAAAATTGCCTATAAAGCATATACATATGAAGGTAAAGTTTTTGTTTCCAGAACATTCATTGCTGAGAATTAAATACAGAACATCTTAACCAATCTCCATGTTTAATAACTACTTATCTGGCTATCAGTAAATTTATCTCTGCTGAAAGTAAAAATTTTCTGTTATAGAGTAATATTGTTAAAGTAGATAGAATTTAGTTTACCTCTAAAATGTCTCCTAAAAATGCGTAAATTTCATGCATATGCCAAGGTTCATTAATTCTCATATTCATTTTTTATAGGGAATAGTAAATTTCATATTATCATGGTAAACATATATAGAACATTTACATTTTACTTCCCGTATCAAACCCTATTCAAGCGTAAATTATTTGGATATTTACAACTTATGGAAAATCATTTAACGAATGTATTTTTCTTATCACATTAAAGTTTACCAGTAAAGTAATTACCTAGCTAGTTTCATAATACGAAGTATGTCTTCTAAAAACTCTTCTTTACACTTGAACTACAAAAACTCTCCCATACAAGCCAGCTTTTTCTCATATCATCCAAATGCATATTGGCGGACCTTAATAATATAGCAAACAGCCCGGCAATAAATTTGAAATATTTCTCCCGCTAACTTGCCAATCAGCAAAAGATTGTCAAAATCAAGGGACAGTCGTTATGAAAGCAATAAATTTTATGTTGACTGTAGTTGTATGTAATTTATGAGTTTCCCTATCTTCACAGTTGTGCTTTTTTTAAAGCCACATTGCATTCTTTGAAAAGATTCATACATTTAAGAAAGAGTCAGATTGTGTTAGAGCCCATTATCAAAATATAAACGCTGATACTAATTATTGCTCTTAGTTTTCATAATATTTTTGTGATGACTTATCGGAAGATTGATCAAGTGATGTTTCGAGCTCATAACGTCAAAATCATAATAATGAAATTCCTATCTTATACAACAAAAGAGTGCCAATTATTTGATACACCAGTTATAAGGCAATTGACAGCGTTTCCTGAACAAAGGCAAAGGATCGAATTCTTACTAAACCATTTTCAGGATAAAATTAACATCAAGATAAACCTAGTGGTAAAACTATCATGTCGTTTAAACATTGACGGCGTAATAACACTTAGTTTATCTATCCTGAGCTATTTTAAGCAATAAATAAACCTACCTTCAATAAAACACTCCACAAGGTGGTTGATAGTTAATTTTATTGATTAAGCTTGATGCTAAGAAGTGATGGCTGTTATAGACCCTTTCCTCTAGGGTAAACGTTTACCGACATATGGTTATCATAAAAAAAGACAACATTTTCATCTGTTTGATTTTAAGACTAATGAGAGAAATCGGTGTTGATAAGTAACTTGCTAGTATTTTCGTTTGAATGATAAAATATACCTTTAAAAACTTTCTTTTTACATAATCTTATTTGGAAGAATTATTTCATCTCTTTGAAAATACCTTAGATACTAATTCTTCATTAAAGTTGGTTAATTAATGTTATTATAAAAGTTTATAAAAGTTGAAAATACTCTCAAGTATTTTTTAACGTATGATTAATTGTTTTAATTATTCACGATTTTATAGATTAAAGATATTAAAGAATTATTAAATATTCAGTCCATTGATACCCCACCAAAACCTTTCCTTTTAAGTGAAAGGCGACCTAATCGAATTAGATCAGCGCGTGAATATCGACGAAAACATATCGAACGAAAATTTTGTTCATGTTTAAATTCAACAGATGATCTCAGTCTTCAAAACAATGATACTTCTGTTTCAGATGGAACAACTACAAACAGTGTACACAGTGCTAGACAACGAGCAGATATTCACTTACCAAGCGTTAAACATTTAATAGAAACATATGAAGAAGTAGAAAAGTGAAATTTGGACTTCAACTAGTCCCTGAACAATAGTTTACATCTCGTTTAAAGAAAATAACCCCAGCAATTTTTTGTCTACTGCATAATTTTACAACACTATTACATCACTGAACCACGATGTTATGAAACTTTCATGATTCCTATTAGATCTACGTTTGTTTACTTAAAAATATAAATTTTCACATCATAGACATTGTAACATGTGTTACGAAACAATTTTTCACCTTAATGTTATTTAATTTATATGAATAATAACAACTTTTTGAATGACTTTGCAAAAAATGTTAAATGTCAAGTGAAACTATCGCATATACAAATAAACGTTGCAAAACCACGAAAGGAAAAGAGTTTGTTCATTATGTTATTTTTGTTTGAATCTTCCCGTTGATGTTTAGGACTGATTAGCCTCCCATTGTACAAGTTAGTGGTCATCAGGACTCAGTAGCTAAGTGGATAACATGATGACGTTTTAGGTGAACGATATCGGGTTCGAGTCCCGGAGTGAACATCAACTCTAGCATGCAGTTACATCCAGCTGACGAGTCCCAAATAGGATGGAACGCGTGTCCTGGATTCCAATGCTAACCATCATCCGTCTTTGGAAAAGAGTTTGATTAATAAAAATGTTATACGTTCGCGAATGATTCAGAAATTTCTTAATTAATTTATCATAAAATTTTTCCATAGGACAGACCTATTTGAGCATTTAATGAAAGGCTTGGGTTATATAAGTGAGATACACAATATAAAGTTAATAAATTGAATGAGAATTTCGAACATCATAATGGTTAGCATGAAATGAACTAAATTTTCTCTAACGGATTGCACCCATATTACCTTTCTAGAATATTTACTTTCTCTAAAGATAACAACCTGTAGTAGTTATTAGTGATCAACTCTACTATTATTTGGCAAGAAGACAATTTACGAGTGAAATATAATTTCAATGCATGGAATTCTTTTATTGAGACACTGTAGCCCATTCAAGAACATTCCACTATATGAATTTCTAATTTAAACACAGAACTCATTTCACTACTGAAGATAAGTTAACAGATGTGTATTAGGTAGATAATATACATGCATTTCAAACTTCCCTAATTATTCACTCCAATCCGTTAACTACATTTATATTAACAGTAAAAGCCAACGAACAATGTCATTTTTTTTAAAATTATTGCCAACTATTAATTCTGCCGCCTGGTATAAATGAACAAATGGTTCGTTTTAAAGCTTATTATTTAAAAAAAACACTAGAGTATAAATGCTCTGTGTCAAAATTTCGTCTCATTATCAAAATATTTGAATCCACGGGATAATCGATGACATTATAATTAAAATGTGAATAGCTTTAATTTATTGTAAACATAATATATCATCACTCCCCTTCTCTATTCTTTCATAGTATATTAAGAATAGAGTTTAAAGATTGAAAATTATTTACTTACTTACGCTTGTTACTCCCAATGGAGCATAGGCTACCGACCAGCATTCTCCAACCCACTCTGTCCACCGTCTTCCTTACCACTTCTATCCAATTCTCGTTCATTTTTCTCATATCTGTCTCCTTTTATCGGCGTAATGTGTTCTTTGATCGCCCTCTTCTCCTTTGGCCTTGAGGATTCCATGTGAGGACTTGCATTGCGACACAGTTGGGTGCTTTCCTCAATGTCTGTCTTATCCACTTCCAGCACTTCTTCCTGATTTCTTCCTCCATTGGAATCTGGTTTGTTCTCTCCCACAGTAGATTGTTGCTGATAGTGTCTGACCAACGGATCCGAAGTATTTTGCATAGACAACTGTTAATAAAAACTTTATCTTCTGGATGATGGCTTTCGTAGTTCTCCGTGTTTCCGCCCCGTACAGTAGAACTGTTTTGACATTTGTATTGAAAATCCTGACCTTGGTATTGGTTGACAGTTGTTCTGTGTTCCAGATGATCTTCAGTTGTAAATATGATGCTCTTGCTTTGCCTATCCGCGCCTTCACATCTGCATCAGATCCACCGTGTTCATCAATGATGCTGCCCAAATAAGTAAAGTTTTTTACATCTTCCAAATCTCCGTCAAGTGTGATTCGATTGTTGCATGCTGTGTTGTATCGGAGGATCTTGCTTTTCCCTTTGTGTATGTTGAGATCTACTGTAGAGCGATGAATTCCATTCAATTGATTGTTCTACAATGATCTGTAGTGTTGCAATTTGGTCTGTACACGATCTATACATACGAAATCCTGCCTGTTGATCTCGAAGTTGGGCGTTTACGGAGTCCTTCATCCTGTTTAACAATACCCTGTTCAATACTTTTACTGGTATTGAGAGAAGAGTGATGTCCCTGTATTTATTACACTTACTGAGATCGTCTTTCTTCGGCATCTTAATCAGGTGTCCTTCTTCCCAGTCTGTTGGTACTTGTTTCTCATCCCGAATCTTGCTGAAGAGTATGTGGAGTGCCTTTTCAGTTACTGATATATCTGCTTTTAGTGCCTCTGCTAGAATGTTGTCTGACCCCGCTGCTTTGCCTCTCTTGATTTGTCTGATGTCCATTCTGATCACTTGAATTGTTAGTAAGCCAACATCTATTGGAAGGTCCTTGTGTTCTGCTCCGAGGTTGGGTAGGTTCAATGGGGCTGGTCGATTCAAGAGTTCCTTGAAGTACTCTACCCACCTGTTTCGCTGTTCTTCAATGTTGGTGATTACTTTGCCTTCCTTGCTTTTCACTGGTCGTTCTGGCTTATGATAATTTCCAGCGAGTTTCTTTGTTGTATCATACATGTTTCTCATGTTTCCTTCTCTAGCAGCTTTTTCCGCCATCACTGCTAGATCTTCAAATGCTCCTCTTCACTTGCTTGTTTACTTCTGTGTATTCAGCTCCCCTCTTAGTGCTCACCTTCTCCATAGTCCTTCTGAACGTTTTTATTGATGCAGACATGGTCGATTTGGTTCTGTGTAGTGTGATCCGATGAAGTCCATGTGGTTTTGTGCACGCGTTTATGTGAAAATATAGTGCCTCCTATGACCAGTTTATTGAAAGCACATGGGTATGAAAATCTCTCACTATTTCCGTTTCTTTCTCCCAGTCAGTCCATGTCGTTCCATGTTGTCTTCAAATCCGGTGTTGTTCATTACAACCTTGGCATTTAGGTCTCCCATCAGAATGGTCAAGTCCTTTGTTGGGCACTTCTCAACGATTGACTGTAGCCTATTGTAGAATTGATCTTTAACGTCTTCATTGTAGTCGTTGGTAGGCGCATAGCATTAGATGGCATTCATTGTAATGCCCTCTTTCTTTGTTTTGAAGAAGGTTTTGATGATCCTTGTCCATGAGATTCCCATCCTATGAGTGCATTTTGTGCTTGTTCGGATAGCATCAATGCAACTCCTTGTGTATGTAGGACATTTTCTTCATCATGGCCGGAGTATAACAGAAGCTCCTCTGAAGCTGGTCGTTGTTGTCCAACTTGCGTCCAATGTGTTTCACTGATCCCAAGCACCTCTAGGTTGTATCTCCTCATTTCTGCCCCAATTTAAAAGACTCTCTCGGTCTCCCACATTGTACGAGTATTCCATGTACCTAAATAAATAGTTGCTCTGGTCATCAGAAGGGGAATCAGCCTCTTGGCTTCCGAAAGAACTCGGCTTACATCATGAGGCGTCATAACTCTTCTAAATGAAGACCTTCTGGCTCCTAGGGTAGAGTTTAAGTGGTTTGAATATTTTTTTCTGGTTAGCGTTTTTTTAGCGAGTTAGTTTTCTACGGGATGAGGTCGTCAACCCCATGCCCGAACCTTCTTCATCATCCGGGCTTGGGACCGGCAGTAGCCTCAGAGGGACTCCTGGTGAGATTAAAGATTGACAATTAATAAACCTTAATTAAGTATTTATACCTTCTCAAAATATTCATTGTAAAGGTTCATTAAATTTGCATTAAACTAATAAACATTTTTTTCTAATTTCTTTTACCATGAAAATGAAACTTTTAAAATATAAAGTAAATCAGCTAATTTTATTTTTCTGACGCCATATTTGAGATTTTATTTCAAAATAAGACACAATAACGAACGAACTTTTTTATTTTTTTAGCTTAGAAGATAAGAAATATGAATGATTTGCCCAGTAACATTAAATATTTTATTTTAAAAAAACTTTTATTGTAGCATAAATTTGATTTTCTTACAATAATATTTTTTTAAATTTTTTGTATAATCAAAGTAAAGCAATTTCCTCCTAATCAATAAATTTTTATCAAAAGGGAGTTTGTGAAGATTTTATTAATTTCAGTAGTTGAATTCATGAGTCATTTGAAGCTAGACCACCATGGAAAACCTGGAAGCACTGAACGGCCATTTCGTCCTAGTATGACACTTCACAGTGGTGTGCATCCACGAGTCCACCTCGCGGCGCGAACGCTTAACCACTAGACCACTGAGCTGGCATCCAGTGGTGTTAATGTCTAACTTCAACTAATTTACAAATTTGAGCCACACTTCTACCATTGTCTCCAGTGAGTTACTACCTCCTAACAGACTCGGTTAAACTCCACTGAACACTGTTTCTCACTAGAACTCCAGGATATACCTCTTGAAGCCAGTCACTAGTGAGCATATGTTGATTAATTCCAGAAGGGGTTTTGTAGATATTATAGTAATTTAATGACTGAGATCATGAGTCAGTTGTTCGAAAGGTATTGCGCAAATATATCGCATAATTCTGATAAACATCGTCTTCTCATTTCATTATCGAAATTTATCAAAGGGACTAATTGTTTTAAACAATAGTATGAACTTTTTTCAGGCAATTTTTAAAGAAAAATTTCTATTCTATTTTACTTGATTAACAATTGTATTGAATGTAAATGTTCTAAGAAAAAAAACAACCCTGTAACTGAGGGGTATTTTATTTTAAAAAATGCTTTTTTAATGTTTTTAGTTATATAAAAAATTTCCTTAAAGTGAACCTATTAATGAGATACAAACTTTAGATCATATTTAAAAACAGATTCC